CTCTCAGTGGCCTGAGGAGGTTGGAGCCTGGGCACTGTGGGGCTGTCTCATTTCAGAAACACTGCGACAGGCAGAAGGCAAACCTGAGGATCCGCTTCAAGCCCTCGCTCTTCCAGCACGTGGGAACCCACTCCTCCTTGGCTGGGAAGATACAGAAGCTGAAGGTGGGTACCAGCTCTCTGTCCAAGCTGCAGGTGGCCTGCTCTGCAGACACCCAGCAGCTGACTGCTTTTGGGTGGGGACATCAGTGACAGCAGCTGGTGGCAGCTGGATTTCTGTGACGTGGTTGTGTTTTATTCTGTATTACAGTGAGCTCAGGCAGCTCCTGCTCCTCAGAATGGCAGTGACATGCACCAAGAGTCACTGCAAGGTTATAAGCCTTGGTACCAGTCCTGGCTACCCATCCTGAGTGCCAGGCCATGGTCCGGGCAAGTGACTTCAAAGAATCTACTGAAAAACCTTGGAGATGACTCCTGGGTTGGTCTGACTTCCTTTCCACTCCACTTTATGTTCCTGGGATTTGGTGATAGACAAATTAAAACTCACTGTATAAGAGCTGGAATTGTTGATGTGTGTTTAAACATGAACAAAATGCTCATGTTCAGCTACAAGTGCAGAATCCATGGACAGACATCCCTGGGCTCTGCTGTCTGTGTGATCCCCGGGGAAATGGGTGGTATAATCCAGTTTGTATGTGCTGTCACAGTGCAGTGCTGTCAGGCCATGTAATCCAGTCATTTTATGCTATTGTCAGCCTCCCAGCTGCTTTCTCCTCCAGTGTAAAGACTGTTTCCAGAGCTCCTGGGGCATGGACAGGCATTCAGGGACATTTGGACCATGAAAGGCTCCTTGGTGAGCTGGATCAGAGCACAGAGCAGAGGTGTTTCTCTGAGCTGCCTCTCCTGAAGCAGTGTCCTGGGATCCAGTCACACATTCCCCTGCCTGGTGCCTTGCCCAAATTACATCCATCTCTCATCCTTCTGTGCCCTGCAAATCACAAAAGTTTAATTTGCAGTGCCTTGTAGCTGGGGCCCTGGTTCCTCACAGGCCAGAGCAGTTCATGGCCCTTCTCTGCCCTTTTGCTTTGTGCTCTCCAAGGACAAGGACTTTGGAAAACACGCACTGCGGAAAGAGCACGTCAACCCTCCTGCTGAGGTGAGCACCAGCCTGAAAACCTACCAGCACTTCACCTTGGAGAAGGCTTACCTGCGGGAGGACTTCTTCTGGGCCTTCACTCCCACTGCCGGAGACTTCATCCGATTCAGATTCTTCAAACCACTCCGTATTGAAAGGCCAGTGCTTGAGGGGTCAGGGGGGCGTGGGGACAGCCCAGAGCATGTGGAGACACTTGACTTTTGCTCTTCTGGCAGTTTAAATCAAATTTCTTCCCTGTCTCCTGCTTGGCTGCCCAGGAGGAGAGAGCAGTGCTCTTCCAGGGGGAGGATAATTTGACCCTTTCTCAGTGGGGCCCCCTTTGCCAGAGCCCTTTGCTTTCCTGCGCTTGTGAGCAGTCCGTGGTTTAGCTGATCTGGCACAGAAAGTCTCCTGCCAAATCGTGCTGTGGGCTCTTTGGGAAGGTGCCTGTTAGGTTGAGCTGTTTGATGATTCAGATGGGGTGAAAGCCATCATGTGCCCCCTCGCTCAGCGTGCCTCTCTGTGGGTTTGGTCTCTGTCACAGGTTCTTCTTCCGCAGCGGGAACATCGAGCACCCAGAAGACAAACTCTTCAACACAACCGTGGAGGTTCTGCCGTTTGACGTAAGTGTTTGATTGAGATTTGAGGTGAGGGTGGAGTGGGAGGCAAAAGAGGTTTGAGACGAGGGAACTGCTTAAAGCCATCAGGAAGATCTTCACAAGATTCGAGTGCCTCTTACAGGTGCTGGCAGGGAGCCAGAGGGTCATGCCTGGTGTGATGCCACCTCGGGAGCAGAGTGCTTTGCTGAGCACAGCTGTGTGAGCCATCCCTGCCTGGGGATGCTCCAGTGGGTGGGATGGCTGCAGAGGAGGGGATGAAGCCAGAATGGTGCAGTGGAAACAGCAGTGTGAGGACTGCAGCTGTCCTCTTGTTCTTTGGGCATGTGTCTCAGGGTGCCAGGTATGGGATGAGGTGACAGGGTTTGCTGGCAAGGACAGCTCTGGGGTTGCTGCTTTTCCTTGGGGCTTTTGGGTGACTCTTGCCTCTGGTCTTGCAAAAAGCTCCTCTCCTTCTGCAGAGTCTACAGTCAGATAAGGAAGCCTTGCAGGAGGGAAGAGGCACAGCTGTCAAGTACCGCAGGACAGCGGATGGCTACATCCAGATAGGTACAGGGGCTGTGGGGAAAGTGCCTGCTGGCTCTGATAACACAGCCCATGTCCTCACCTGCATGTCAGTCAAGAACCTTAGAGCTGTTTGCTTGGCAGAGAGTAATTTCTGCTTGCCAGGAGCCAGGTTGGAACAGGATTTGTCACTGTCTCCTCTCCTCCAGTGCCCTCGCTCTCAGACCACGTTGTCCTCCTCAGATCATTTTCAGTCCTGCATTTCTGCCAGTTCTGCTCAGAGCCGGGACCAAATTATGCTGATTATTTGTTTGCTTACCCTGGGGTTAAAAACCTCCACCATGGGCAGTTTTGCCATCTCTGTACTCACACCACTTGCAGGTCAGACTTCGTGTCTTGCCACCTGATCTTGTTTTAGTGCTCGCCCTGCCCTTGGACAAGAACGAGCAATTGCAGCCTCCCGAGAGCTGCCAGTGTGTGATACAGCTCTGGTGTCCCTGCTAAGATTTTAATTTTTTTTAAGTAGACAAATAAAAGAAAGATTTCCTGACACATGCGGTGTTTTGCCATTTTCTCATTCCTCTGAATGCTAGCTGGTTTCTCCCAGTTGCATTTTCAAAAAAAAAAAAAATCAAAACCAAAAAGTATATCAGGCCACTCTGTCCCCTTTCGCACAGCAGTAGTATGTCACCAAATACTCCAAATAAATTTTGTTTTGTTTACCTGATTTGTGTTCTCCGAAGTGTGGCATTTTGCACTGTATTGCCATCCACACTGCTGGGTTTTAGCCTGTTTTGTGCTGGGGATGTTGGTGGTGCCCTGGGGGAGAAGGAGCAATGCCAGAGGGCCATCCCTGTGTCAGCCACGTGCTCTCCCCACCAGGCTCATTCTCCAAGGGCGTCGCAGAGGGTGAGGTGGACCCATCTTTTGGGCCACTGGAGGCCATCAGGCTGTCCATCCAGACCGACTCCCCGGTGTGGATCATCCTGAGCGAGGTAAGCCAAGCTCCCCCGGCGCCTCCCCACCCCTGCCCTGCTCATCACTCTGATTCCATCCCGCTCTTCTTCCAGATTTTTATCAAAAAAGCAGAGTGAAACAGGCATGAGGCAGAACGAACACCCTCGTGGATCCCTGGTCCTGCTCCCTCCCTCCCGCTCCCTCCTCGCCGCGGCGCCTTGCCCGGACCAGGACAGCGCAGGGCCGGCTGCCGGGACTCGCCCGCAGAGCGGGCAGAGCTGCTGCTGCTGCGCCATCCCCGGCGGGGCTGCGGGGCCAGGACGGGCACTGGCTTCTCCAGAAGAGCAGCAGAAAGCAGAACCCAACCCCCTGTGCAGAGGGGTGGCTTTGCTCCGCTCCCTCGGCCCCTCGGGTGCTGCTCGGGACACACGGGACAGTTTGGGGCTGGGATGAGCTTCAGCCAGTGTGGGGAGGACAAAAAGCACCTTCAGCCCCAGACAGGGCAGTCTTTGGCTGTGTTTGGGGACAGAGCAGGTCACGCCGAGTCCTGCCAGCTGACCCCACTGGCGCGCTGGGATGGAGGCAGCAGGGCCAGAGGTCTGCCTTGCCCTCTCCCAGGCAGCAGTCCTGGCCACAGCCGAGGATTAAGTGAGGGCAAAGACTGACCCTCCTTCAGCAGAGGAGGAACGAATCCGAAGGGGTTGGAGCTTATGATTATGGCAGGGAAAACAAAAAATTAAAATATGCCACACTGTGCCTGCCAGCATTGAACATAGCCCCTTAACTCACGGTGAAGTCTCCAGTGTCTTCATGCCTTGAGATTGAGTGCAGAAACTGTCTTTTAAATAACTAATTCAGTTATTGATCGATGTGGGTTTTTTGGGGACGGAAAAAAAAAAAAAAAACCAGAGGTAGCCCAGTTCAAAAATAGTAGGGATTAGTGTAAATCCCAATGTCCTTTCAGCTATACACTGGAATGCATTATACTACTTTAATGTTCTGTATTTTTTATTATTGGATACATTTGATTTTTCAAGTACATCTCTCTATATAAATATATAAAACAATGTGCACTGTAATAAAAGCTGAATTTAAACCTTTGGTGCAGTAGTGGAGTCACTTGCAGCAGGGCTGCTTTAGGCACCTGTGAACCCCAAGTTCACAGTGGAGGGTGGAATCTAGGGAGGGCAAAGTCCTTTTGCAGAGTTGGTGATAAGTGAAGCTGGGGTAAAGTAAAGGTCATTTAATCAATGCCAAACTGACTTTAGTACTTGGGCTAGGGTCAGGCTTTTCTCCCAATATTTGGATGTGGTTTTAGGCAAGCTTACCCATCATTTTCAGTTAATCACAGCTGCTTTTCCTATGAAACCCAGTCCCCAACTCAGATGTTCTTACATCAGTCTCTGAGTGCCTTTGACAATCACAGGTGATTTCTAGTGAGGAAAAAAATTTATTTTTTCATATCCAGGGTGTGATTCTTCAACATAGATCATTACAGCAGTAAGGAGGAGAGATGACAGCATGTGGGTCAATCTGAGCTCCATGAGGCAGAGCCAGAGGCATTTTAGAGCAGACAGTGCTACAAAGCCCAGCAGTGAAGCTCCTCAGCAGGGGCAGGGGCTGGAAAGCATTTGCTTTCTAGAAGGGAAATTATCTCCGAAGAGCAGAGGAGTGCCAGCATCCATCTCCCTTCAGCAGGGAATGCAGAGCCAGGGAAATATTCTCTCTGATGGTGCCACATGACTGGCTCCCCTGTGCAGGGACAAAGAGTGGGTTTTGGGGGATCTGTGGCCCCTCTCACCAGGCACCACGGAGCTGGAGAGGCCACACCAGTGCTGCCATCCACGTGGAGGAGCTGGGCCTCAGGAAGTGTGCCAGGAGCCCAGCCAGTGCCAGCCCCAGCAGCACCCAGAGCAGCCAGGCACTGGCATACAGTGGTCCCAACCTGGGTGGAGAAAACGCCGTCAGGCACTGCCAGCCCAGCCGGGCACGAGGCACTCCGGCAGGGCTGTGGGTCCCCACCCACCCTGGGGACAGTCAGGGAAGAGGAGACAGAGCCATGAGCACACGGGGGCAGGAGGAGAGGAGGAGGAGGAGGTGAAAATCTGCCTGCAGCCCCAGCCACAGGGAGGAAGCCTGTGCCAGGGCTCCCCGGGCTGGTTTGGGTGCCCCTGGTCCCGCTCTGTCCTTACCGTCCCTGGGCAGCCCCGGCGTAGCCCTGGAAGTACCTGAGGCGGGTGTAGAGGTACAGCAGCCCACACGCTGCAGTCACACCTGGGGGGACAGGGCAGATGAGCTCTGGTGGGGCTCAGGATCCCTGGCACTGCTGGGGCTGCATCCCAGCACATCCCCCCAGCAGGTGGGCATGACCAGAAAACAAAACGCAGAGTGATTTGGCTTTAAACCGCTGCGGGAGTTTAAATGAGTTTTCTTCCTTCCCTTTTTGTGAGGGATGAACTTCTCTGCCCCACAGAGTTGTCTTGGGACTTGGGTTGGCAATGCTCCCTTACGTGGTTTCTCCTCACAAATAAATGGTTGCAGCAACCAAATCCCCTGAGCTCACTTGGTAGGGCTAGACAGTGGATAAGTAAATGTTTGGGTTATGGTTTCTTGTTCTGACATAGCTCTGCCTCAGCTGCTGACACCTTGGCACCCTGGGACAGCCTGACCTTGTCCAGGAGAAGCAGCACAAGGGGACAGCCAGGCTCCAGCAAAGGAGCAAGGGCTGCCAGTGCTTCCTCCTCCAGGCAGGAATGGGCTCAGCTGCTCCCAGCTGGAGTTGAGGCACTTCTCAGTCAATCCAGCTAAAGGGAAATTTGCTTTCCTTGAACAAGAGCCTCACAGGCACAGAGAGAATGCCTGAATCACAATGGGACTTAAATTGGGGCTGGGTTTTTTTGGTTTGTTCACATGGTTTGGGTTGGAGTTCCCCCCCAGATCCCTCTTACCTTGATGGAAGAAGATTCCAGCAACCCAGAGGAGGGAAATGAAGATTGGGAAGTACTCTGAGCAGTTTGCCCTGGTGAGAACCAGAGATGAGAGTTAAAACTGCCTCCTTGTACATCAGAGCCTGGATAACCAAAGCTGGAGAAGGGAATTGGAAACTCTCTTCAGAATAAATTAAAAGAGCTGATGAGAACCATCGCTGTGCTGTGGGAAAGAAGCCTTTTCTGTGAACAAGCACACCCAATAATCTGTATTGTAGAGAAAAAAGCAGCCAAACACACAGCATTCACCTCTCCTGCATTCACATGGCCCTGGAATGACAATCTGTGGCTGAGATGGAGATTTGTGTCTGCTGGACCCTCGACAGAATAGGCTGCACACACAGCAGCATCCCAGACAGCTGCTGGGGGAGAGCCTTGTCAGGATTTAAGGAGCTCTCTCTTCCCCTTGGGTGGACACTGCCTAAATTTGGGAGTCACACAAGTCACACACTAAGAAGGAGCCTTCTCTCAGATAAAATTCAGCAAGAGGTGATCAGATTTACAGCCAGGTTTTCCTCCTTTTTGCTTTAGTGATAAAAATACAGATTTTCTGTAAGAAGAGTAGGAGCTGTGATATTAAAGACATTGGTTTTGTTTCTCCCACATTTTACCATTCCCTAGGCAATTCAATCTTAATGTTGGCCAAAAATATACAAACCTTTGGAGAATAGAGCCAGACTGGGAGCTGGAAAAAGTCTGAAGAACCTTATTCTGTAAATGCAGTTTGAGCCTCAGCGAGGGGAGGCTGCCAGGTTTCAAGTGAGTAATGCATCGATACCACTTTTTCCTTTTTTTTTTTTTCAATATATCAAATTATCCATTTGTATACTCCTCCATGGGGAAAAGAGAAGAAAAACCCACAAAGAAGCAGTATCTTCTCAAGTCCAAGCTCCCCGAGGTCACCTTCCCTGCTACAGCCCATGGCATGACTTGGTTAACACACATTTAGTAGTTAAGTATTTAATTAAAAGCCGCATCAGCAGCTCCCCAGCTCGCAGAGGCTGATGTCTCCAGGCAGGCTGGCCTTCCATGGTCCCACAGAGGGACTGAAGCTGCTGTTTTTGTCACTCCACAAACGTTTCCTGTGTGCTGGCAAGGGAACGCAGCTGCTTTGTTCGGGATTTAGTGCCGGGCTGGAGCTACCCTTCACACCAGCTCCAGCCAATTCCTTTCAATTGCTTACAAAACAGAATGACTGAGATGAAAGATGGAATCTGGTGCTTGCTGGAAGCCGAAGGGATCTGTGAACGTTTCCAGTTTAGCTCCAGCATTGCTCTCTCCATAGGAACAGAGCAAAAAGAAACAGCCCTCAGCAGGGGCCCACGAGTGCTGATTCTCACAGTACAATGGCTTCTGAAAGGGAAAAAATTAAAATGTCCTTGTAGCTGGTTCTGCCAGCAAGGCCCTTTGCTTCAATTCAACAGCAAAACATTACAAGAAAATATCAGGTTATTAATAAAGCTTTGGCTGCTCTCACCATTTGGAGCCAATGGTAATATTAAATTTAATGATTCTAATTGTGAATGCTCTGCACCTCCTCCATACGGCCACTAATTTGTAATTTGGCTGCCTCACAATGCCAGAAGGAGAATTATCATGGATGGACAGGAACACCCCAGCCAAGTGCTCCAAATCAAAATGCAGACCTTTGCACACAAAGCATTGAAAAAAAAAAATTATATATATATATATATATATATATATAAAACAGGAGCAGTAAGTGGAAAGGTGATTGAGGGAGACCAGTCTCTCCCAACAGTGACAGCTGACTCAAGTCTTATCTAGATAAAGTCATCACAAAAAGTTAAAATCTTACTGAGCTCTGAAGGTCCTCTCAAATTCAGGGTGACCTGTTGTTTCAGGAGGGGAAATCTTGTACTTCCGACGGGCGTAGATCACGTGCATTGCAAAATAGGCTGAAAACAGAACACAGGAATGGAAACAGCCCAGCAGTGTTTATTTAGCCAGGTGTTATCTGGCTTGGAATCAAGCAAGTGGTTAGAATGAAAGAGCTGATATGATCTGGGTCCATAGTCCAGGGCTGTCACACACGACCTGTAATAAATGTGCCATTTATTTCACTCATGCTTTAAATGCAGGTTTGGTTATCCCAGCTGAGTGCTAGTGCTGGATGGCTCTTTGCATCATCTCACACCCAGCAGAGCCCTCAGTGCTGCTCCCTGGCAGATCAAACACACAATAAAACCTTACCAAGTCCACACTGAGCCACAGAATTACTTCTTAATCTTGCACTTTGTGTCTAGAGGACATGTGAACCCTCAGCCAGTCTGATGGGAATGATGTGCAACACTTTCTGCTATTCCCAGTGGTGCAAATTATGGCCCATGTCACAGAGCAGCATCCAAACTGTCAAGCACTGGGATATCATTAAGTCAATTGGAGATGCTCCCAATCATGGCAATAAAAGGAAAAGGGAAGAGGATGATTATTTCTTGTTCTTCACTCCTGCAGGACAGCCCCAAGGCTGTCAAGGAGCAGAGGTGCTGCCCATGCCTGCTCTCAGCCTGTGCCACATTTGAGCCAAGGCACTGACTCAGGGTCTGCTACATCAGTCCTTTGTATGTTTGTAAAGGATATGGAAAGTCACTTCAAAACAATGAAAACTTGCTAACTTGAAGATTTGGACTGTTTCACTATTTATTGAAAGCTCCCACTCCCACAGGCAATTGCTGATGCTCTGTTTTATTTAGGTACACTATTACACTGCTGTCTTTATTGAAAATTCCTATTTTCATATAGGAGAAAACTAAATTATAAAAACAATTACTTTGGTGGCTCTGGTGGTGTCACTGAGACACTTCAGTGAGCAAAGCCCTCACATAGCAACATTTCCAGAGCATTGCACAGAGAGACAAGGAGCCAGGGTGCAAGGCCTGCCCTGGGGACTGTCCTATTGTAACAAAGATAAAAGCAGAACAGCAGGAGAGAGAAGGGGAAGTAGGGACAGATGTTCCAAGATTAAAGACAAGACATGTGCCTGCAGAAAAGCATTAGTACATATGTAGAAGGGAATTAGAAATGTAAATAGTCTGATGCTACGTGACTTGTGTATCACAAGGTTTTACTAACATAAATACAGTCATTCCTTTCAGAACACACGTAAGAACAATTAAGCGTGTTCTAGTACCTTCCACAGAACCCAGACCTAAATAAGAGGTGCTGACAGAGCAGAGTGGGGAGAAACAAGAATGTTTCCTCCTCTTTGATTCATTTGTAGCAGGTCGATCATGGGGGAGGGTGTCACCCTTCTGCAGATCCAGCAGGACAGGACAGAGCGTTCCCTCTGTGAATCCAGAGAGGTGTAACACACAACTGGAATTCAGCAGCTGCTGGAGAGCTCTGGGAATAACATGAAACCACAACCCATCTTGTTACCTCTCCTCCTCCCTGATGCTCTCAGGGTTTCACCCATCTCCTCTCCAGAAATGGGCTGAGCTGAAGTTACAGCATCATGAGCAGATCTGGCTTGTGGCATCAGCCCAACTGCACTGGGCAATGCTCTTCATCCTGCTTTGTGCCATCTGCACCTTCCCTAAGGCAGGATTCTTGTGACTGATGGGTGAGCTGAGAGACTTCACATCAAACCTCTCCACCAGCTCTACACTTAGCATCTTGCTTCTAGACACAGGGGCTAATATTCAGACAAGTCTTACACAGACCCCTGACACTCAGGGATGGGTGACGTACAAAACAACCACCCAAGAGGAGCAGGAGCCATGTGGAGAACAGCTGGCTGTTCCCCAAACCTGGTGTAAGGGTGAAGAACTGAGGATGAAGAACCAGTCCACAAAAGCACTTCTCAAAATGAGGTGTTGAAAAATCCTACACTGCATGAGCCTTCTCAGCAGAGACTCTTAGAGAAAAAGAGATCGATCTGCTCTGCAGAACCTTTCAAAGCTTTTTTTTTTTTTTTTTTTTTTTTTTTTTTTTGTGATTCATGTCTCGAGGTTAATCACCTGTGTGGATTCCCATGTGGCTTAGGGGCTTAGGGGCTCAGCTCTCACCCAAATTTGCCCCTCAGTGGAAATATTATTCATTCTCTATTTGATTATGTCCACAAACTTGTCAAATCATATCATAGTTGCTATCTGCCACATTTGAGTGAACCTGGCAAACAAGCCCTCTGGGGCCTGACAGTGACATTGCATAAGTTTTCTTTCCTTTGTAGCTGTAAAATAAAGGAGTAGTAGAATAATTTTGCTCTATGGTACAATGTTCACCACAAGGCTGGGGCACACATCTAGAGAGTGCTAAACTCAGGGGTTCACTAAACTGAGAATGACTAAATTAAAAAGGGGAAAGTTACTTGAAAGAACACAGAAACTGCGGGCTCCCAGAAAATCCAAAAAGAAACATAAAAATCAACCAACACTGTACCAAGGTCAGCCATTAAATTACATCTGCTGCACCAGGATGTGATGGAGGAGTGACTCTAGGGATAGCCCACGTCCATGCTTCAGTGCTCCCCTGCTCAGAGTGAATCCCAGACTGTAACTCACCTACAGAGTGTCCTTTAAAAACATGCAGAGAAAGCTCCTGCACAGCTCTGAACCCCAGTGACACTCGCACATGGATTTCATAGGACTAGATGGAAAGGAAACATACAGTATTTTGCAATTGCTCCTTGGTTTCCCATACAGAGATCAAAAAACCAGGATACTTCATGTGATCGAACAGATAGGAGGGTGCCAATGTCAGCTATTTATCTGCTGGCTTCACACCTGGCTTGATATGGCATCAAAGTAAAATGCTTAATGCTGCAACCTTTAAAAACTACTTGAAATTCTCATTAAACAAAAATATTTGAGACAAAACTGCTATCTAGGCATTTGCTACTGAGGGTTTCCTAAAGGAAAAGGGCTCAGCAGCATTTCTGTAACTCAATTTCAAGTTTTCTTCACGTCTTGCCTTTGTACACTAAACACTCGCTCCTCCTCCACTTAGTTTAACAAAAAAAATTCATAGTACAAAAGTTTCTTCCATTTGTAGTTGTATGTCTCTGTAAATTGAGTGGAAATTACTGAAAATTCAGAAGTCTTGAGCTCTATTTTTAAAGTGGCATATTTTGTTTTAAGTAATGCTTATATTAAGAGATTTATCATCTGACAGCCAAAAGCACATGATGCTGCTCAGAGATTCACATCCATTTGTAAGCAGAGGTGTGATAGCTGTATGGTGAATTGATACAGTAATAATAAACCCCATAAACGTTTCCTTAGAAAATGGTGAAGATTTTAATAAAATGGGGGCTCTGCCCCCATCCCAGGCAGGGGAGTGACTGTCCTGAAGCTCAAGGGGGAGAAACTTTGATCCACAAATAAATAGAGCTTGTCACCAATGCTGCTCCTTCTAAATGGTCTAAACACAATGCATCTATTTAAATTAGAAGTCACTGAGTTCCTTTGAAGAGCTCTGTGTCTGTTTCTGCCCAGAACTTGCAACTTTCCAAATTACTGTGCTCTCAGTCCATCTTGTCATCTGCTCTGTGCCACACGAACATGCAAGGATATTGATCACAGAGAAACACTTGTGTGCACTCTTTCCTACATCCACACCAGGTCTGTCTGTACACTGACCTCCCCACCAGCACATTTACTAACCTGCCTTTATTTTGGCTACCTCCAGCCACTGCAAGTTACAAATTACCTGCTAAAATTCAATCACAAACTAGTTTACATCAATAACATCACATTGAAAGTGCTTTAAGTCTAAAAGTTTTACTTGCTGGTTTTGAGGATCATTTTAGTCCCTGTTAAATAATGACCATCCTCAGACATGACACTTCTACCATTAACAGCCAAAAATTTATATCATTTTGCCATGTTGGAAAACATGACTTTCACTCCACAGACGCTCCAAGAAAAACACAGGAACCACATCCCACGAAGTTTAACATAATTAGCTGAATACTGGCATTGTACAAAGGACATTTACCTTGCTCCAGGACCCCCAGAACTGTGACTGTGGCCAGCAGGTCTATTTGATCTCTCATGCTTGCTGACTGGGGAGCAAACCCCAGTCTGATGTGCTGGGTACAGCTGGTCCAGCACTCCCACCACCACCCACTTGCACAGAGCTGCTCTGAGCACAGGTGTTTCCTCCACCACACCTTAGCTCACCCTAACTCTCTCCACACCACGTGGTTTTCCAAAGCAGCCACCCCCCAGAAAATGTCTATTCCATTCAGCCAAGTGCCTTTTGCTGAACAATAGAGCAAGGAAGAATTTTACATGAGCAAACTGTGAAATTCTTCTAATTACATTTACAAACTTTATACCATGATTGAATTATATGCTGCCGGCAATAGAAAGATGATGGAATTATTTCCAGCCCTTTTGTTGCTAGTTTTAATGAGCTCTGAAGCATCTCAATTATGTGCAAGGTTGTAAAAATTATTAACAAGCATTTACAAATTAATGACTTGACCTTCTGCTCTTATTTCAAGTAGTGGAGTTGACCACATGAAAGATTCGATAGACTCCAGCTGGAATAACTTAATTCTGTTCCCAGAATCTGTGATTTAACAGAACATTCAGATACTTTATCCTACTAATTACCACTCTTCAGTTTACCAAAGAGGAGTACAGTTCTTTCTACCACTCACTCACCCTTAGAAGTTTTCTGAAGTTTTTAAGCAATACAAATCTTTTCCTGGCTAACACACAAAAGAGAAGTTCTCAGTTCTGATGTCAGCAGAGGATGTAGAAACATACAGACCCTGAGAAATGTTACACTGACACAGAGTTGTAATTGTAAAATGTAAAACTGAAAAACCAGGAATGTTTTAGACCTGAACTTTTCCCCCGCTCCACAAAAGTAAAACTGGCATCAGTTCAAAAAGGAACCTTATGTTCTTGGGCACCTTTATATGGATGACTACTTTGACTTTAAAATTTTTAAAATCAAAGAGAAGGAAGGTTTTCCCTTAATGTTGGTGGCTGAGCCATTGCAGTTCTCTCTGTTGACTCATACACACAAACCCTCACTACAGAATTTGGGCATGTACCAGACCTACAGTCATTCCCAAGAGGGACAGAGCAAGATGTTTTTCCAGTTTGGCTCTTCATTGCTTCAAAACCCTACTGTGACAGCTCATCAAGTTGAAAATTCAGTTAATCAAAAAAATTAAAAAATCAAACATGTTACACTTTTTATATATAACCACACATGTAGAATAGTGAAACCACTCCCTTTCTCTAAAAACCACTCATATGATGTGACTTCAGCCTCCAAGGTACAGCAGACTCAGACGAAATAGAACTAAAACCTAAAAGTTAACCTTAAGTGAACCTACTGGTGACCAAAGATTTCATCTGTGGTGTCCAATATAAAAGTCAGAGGGGAAATGCCACTGGGGTCTCCTTACAACATATTTCAACAAACAATGCAGGCTTGAGAAAATTTTCATTACAGATTTCCATTACTGTCAGGAAAAACACTGGCATCAAGAAAATAAAAATCAGATTCTGAGCAAAGGTTTGTGACAAGCTGCCACTGACTCCTTAAAATCTTTTGAAAGCCACAGCTGTCATTTCAGTGGGGGGTGGTTTGGGAAATTTGTTTCACTCAATAACCAAAATGGAGCATTTTTAATGAAACAATAAAGCAAAAATTAATGCAACTTCATGGTTCCCCATGGGCTAAAAGCAGCTGATTCTGGTACTGCTGTTGATTGCTACACTTGGTTCTTTACAAACTTCTGAAGTTACAGGTTTCCTTCTCTTCCAAACAGAACACAAAACTTGTAGAGTAGGAATACATTAAAAACACACTCTGGTAAGCCAGGGGCTAACAACACAACTGCACAATGACACCAACTGCAAAGCTTACAGAATGAGCCACCAATGTCTGAAGCTGAGTCTGAAGCTGGGGACTTCAGCAGCCTGAAGCCAAGACCTGCACACACGCTGCTGCCAGCACTTTGTTCCTTGCTCAGAAACATCAGCTCCTGCACGTGTCCCACGTCTCAGCTGGATTCCTGTGTGTGCCATGTGCCTGCAGCAGACAAGTCTTGAGGAAATCAGTTTGAACCTCTAAAGGCTGTTATTCTGAGGGATTTGGCATATTTTGGAACTCCACAATTTTGCACATGTGAGGTCGTTATTAACATCTTTTTCACTATTAACAACCACCTCTGCATTGAGGTGGTTGAATTGAGGTTGAATTTCCCAGCTTAAGGTCTACAATGCATTCCAGAAAAAAAAACCCAAAGCCCGGAAGCAGTGGGAGTAGCATAAAGCCCGATTTTCAAAGTTACAATTTCTAAGGCCCCTTTATCCAGTTTTGGCCTGTTTAAATGGACTTTCTGAAACCATAAGAATTGTAAGACACAGCAGCAGAATTTGAGCCTTAGTAATAAATAGGCTGAGCAAAAACTGTATGTTGGGATGAAGGGAAGAAACCACCTCACTAAGAATGACAAAGCTGAACTCTGCTAGGCTCATGCAAATGTATAAAGTCACACCATGTATATTTAATACACTAGCAAAATATTTATTTTATAATGATAAAACAGAAGTGAAGGATTTCTTTTTGGTGTGCACCAGTAATTGTAGTAAAAGAATAAGGGGATTAATGGACTCTTTATACATTTCAATGACAAAAATTCATAAAGGTTAGCATCAAATTCAACTGTTCTCCATTTACAAGCATAAAACTTACCATAATACCCCCCAAACACATATATAAAGAATTATAGTTTTAAAATCTATAAAAAGTAAAAAATATACAGTCAGAAGATCTAACTCTTATTCAAATCTTTAATATAAAATTGTAAACATTTATTTACACAAAGGAAATGTGTATAACAAAATTTTGAGCACCCTTTTCAATTGGATCGTGGTTTTTGGAAGGCAGTGGATGTTGCACAGTGACTCTCTCACCTTGCCTGCCCAACCAAAACCGCAGTTTATAAATAAAGCCATGGGCGGCCGGCTGGGTTCAGTTCAGGGGAGATTGGTTTTATTGCTCTGAAGCTGCAGCAAATGGAAAGCCCGAGTGCAGACACAGCCAGTGACACATTACAGGGCACCAGGGCAGAGCCCAGCCCTGCCCATGCACCCATGCACATCAAAACCGTATTTTCATTTCCATTGAACTGTTCCAATCTTGTTCCAGTGGCACCCTGCTCTGTGCACAGGGACCAAACCAGAGCCAGGGGCTGTTTGGATCCTGTTCACACAGACACCAACAGGCAGTGTAAGCCAGTTTGTCTAGAATCACACCTAACTGTACTCCAACAGTACCATGAAAAGGCCCTGTCATCAAACCCAGATACCTTCCTGAACAAACCCTCTGGTCAAGCAGAGCAATATCCACCTTAGCTTCCAGAAACAGTGGAGGAAAGAGCACACCTGCCTTTTCCTGGACATTTCGCTGGATTGCCTTTTTGGTAGTAATAATGCAAACAGCAGATGTTCTTTTCCTCCAATTAAGAAATCACAACTGGATGGATTGTATTTTAACTTATTCAGAACCAAGTCTGTGTGCAAAATCTACTGGAAAACAGAGCAGATTTCACCACAACCTAAACAGGGAGAAAGAAAAGCTGAATCCTACTACCCTGTTATTTCTGTTAAGTGTTTGTAAGGGGGAGAAAAAAACCAGTGACATGGAAGGATGTCACTTGAAATTGAGGTCCCAAGCACCCCCGACAGGAAGGGAAGGCACACTGGTGCAAAGTTAATCCTTAAAATTAAAAATACAGCAAACACTCCTTCCCCTGACATTGCTAGTTTATATCTATACTCTTCTAATGACACTTACCTTGGACCAGTTTTTGGTTTAACTTAACAGTAAACCAAGCTCACTAGCTCTTTTCTTAGATTGCCAGTATGAGAAAAGCTAGCTCAGTTATTTGCATCTCAACTACTTATTCTAGAAAATATCAGAAGTGTCAACAACCAAAGTCACCAACACCTTCGTCTTCCCATCCAAAGACAATCTTTATGTTATCTTTTCAAAAGCTCTATGAGGAATTAAGTCTGCTTCAGTGAAGTTTTATTCACTGTTTAGAGGTGGGATCCACTGATCAATGCACATCTTTCATCAACAGTTCAACATGATAAAATAGCAAATCTGATCAACAGAGCGGAATTCATCCACACTAGCTAAGTGTGCTGGACAAACCATGTTCCATGCATATTTGGAAAGGGTTAAAGTATTAGTGTTAAAAAAGCAGTTTTCAAAAGTGCAAATTGTCTCATAAAGGAGCTGCAGATACAGTAAAATATCTTCCTTCTCTGAAACCAATGATATCTTTCCCTTCCCTTCACCCCCTCTGGAAAAAACCCTCTCTCACAATTCTGTAATGCAGAAAACTCCTGGAGAAGCCAGTCTGTGTTGAAGAAAATTGCTTTTAAATCACAATGCTGGGTTTGGTTAGAAAGTTTAGAGGAGTTTTCCAAGAAAGTGGATTTAGAAAGGGAAGAGGTATTTGTGCATTTAAAACAAAAGCTTTCAACTTTATTTTCATTTTAAAATAAACATTAAGGCAAGGTGGTTTGTTGGTGGATAAGGGATTTTTTTGGTAGAGAGTCAGGAGTTTGGAACATTTACTGGTCCCATTGTGGTTTTTGTCCTTTCTGGGACCAACCCCAACTTATGGATAAGAGGTCTCCTTGGGCTGAGCTGAAGAACAGCATCTGCTTCAAGGGATATTAAAAAAGTAAATCCACCAGTCTATAGAAAGATTATCAAACTTGTAAGCCAGTATTAAAAAAAACCAAAGCATTTAAAAGGGGAGACTTCCACATTGGAGCAACCCTGATACAAGTATTCTCCCAGGCTGCCTGTGCTATTATTGCTAATAAGGACTTTCCACCTCCCAGCCAAATTCTTTTTTCCTCATTTTTATCCTGAAGTGACAAAGTCTTGTGCTCATTGCTAACTTCGGGGGACGAACTGTTCTCAAAGGTTAGTTTTACTCTTTACAACAAAGAAAACTAGATGAGCTGTCATGAAGCAAAGCCTTCATTTAAATACAACTACCTTTGGAAATAAGTTATGAAGAAACAGGTGCAAAGTAAATGGCTTTACAATTCATGTTAGACCTACTATAGTTTAAAAGTTCTCCCATAAGAAATTCCCCCTTTAAACACAGCAAGGTACAAGCCAAGAACTGTGCCTCTCTACAACAGAGTGCAAACTGCAGCTTAAAAGACTAAATCTATGAAGATGACTATCTAGACTAACTGGCCAGGTTTTAATACTTTTTCTCATCTATTACCAGCATCTAGAAATATTTACTGTGAAATATCACTTGCTTACTGAGAGTACAGGCACATGCTTCAGCAATGGGGAAAAGAAACAATTCCAAACATTTTGCAAGCATACTCAGTTGCATACAGCCTCTTCTCAAACAAAAATCAGAAGTTTGATGGACAGTACTATAACAGCATGTCAAGCTATGAACAAATAATTATTGCAAGTAATAGCTGCAGACTAAGCCCTAAACACAATTTGTGCAACTATTTGCGTTCTTTCTGCACTAGTTCTGTGGAATTTTTGTTTTGTTTTTAAATAATTAAAATATTTAGTCTTAGAACACTGCAAGTGAGATTTGTGGAAGGCTGGCCAGGACACAGTATTTTTTGACCTGTTCAAGTGTGCGACTCCTCAGAGACCGCAGCCAAAGCGCACTCCTCCTGCAGACCTGCTTGGTGCGCCGTGACCACGTGTCAACACTCAGTGAGAAGCAGCTCCAGTCTTTTTCCCAACCATTTACCTCTAATGCCTGCAAGTCTCCTCAATGCCACAGGTTTTTTGGTCCAAGAGTTGTTTATATCTCATGAAATAATTAAAAAAGTAGAACCCCCGGCCCCAGCCCCATTTTAATGAGTTCCTAACAACTCATCCAAATCATTCATCCACTCCTCTGAAGTCCTGTTTTTCAGCAAAGAGTCTATCAGATCTGTGTCACCAGTTAAGTTCTGAAGTCCATTATTGCCTGACTGGCTGCTGTAGGCAAAAGGCAGCTCCTGACTGGTCGTCCTCACAGGGTACCCTTGGCTACAGTGCAGGTTTCCTCTGTTGGGAATTTGCTGAGTTGGGTTCTGGTTGAAAGCATTCAGGTCTGGAACAGTCTGGTTGATGCCAGGCAGGACTTGCTGTGCGGGTACCTGCTGCTGTGCGGGTGCGTTTGTCCGCGGCTGCGCTGCCAAAGAGGACGACAGCATCTGCCCAGAGACGGCAGCATTCATCGAGGTCATGGGCCTGCTGGTGCTTAGGCTTACCTGAGGCATTCCCTGGGCAAACTGCTGGTTGGACATCTTTAGATGTGTCTGCTGCATGTGGAAAGAGGAGTTGGCAGTAAATGGTCCCAAGCCACTGTTTGCTTGCGTCTGGTTGTTAATATTAGGGATACCTTGGTGTTGCCAAGATGGATTTTGAGCCCCCATAGCAGCTGGTACTCTGGCCATCTGTGGCTTAGATAAGGTTGCATTCAGTGCACCTTTATTGTGCTGCTGAGAAATATTTGAGTTTGGTAAGGTGTTCTGCCCGTAGGCAGCAGGAACGGCAGCGCCCTGGCCCAAGCTGCCCTGTCTCTGCATCGGGGTCTGTCCGTTGGCACTCGGAGTCGTGTGCTGGGCAACCATCTGGCTCATGCCACCTGCCAGGTTGTACAGCCCCCCACGCTGCATGTTCTGCATGCTGGGGTACTGAGACACCCCCCGCTCCTGCTGGCTGGAGCCCGACTGCAGCGGAGCAACAGGAGCGTGTCCAGGTCCCATGGGAATCATGTTCTGGCTCTGAGGAAACAGCCGAGGACTGCCGGAGCTGGACTGTCCTAAATTACTGACCCCGGGCATGGCTGAAGATGACCCTGAAATACAAAGAAATATTTTGTTCATTAAATACCTCAGGTTCAACCAGAGCCAAGTCAGGCTTGTAGGCACAATAACCCACAAGAGAGATGCAGCTGCATTTGTATAAATTGACCTCTGCAAGCAACACACAGAGAGCAGGAGTTTAATTAAAGAGTGTCAACTGTGGCTCCAGTTAGCACCTCACCTTGATCTCAAACACAGATATGCCAATGTCCTAAAAAAATCTGAATACCACTTCTAAGAGTTCAACACCACTAATTTAAAAAAAATTATGACTTTAAAGGCAGGACTCTGATATTTCTTTGTGAACAGAGGTAAACACATATACTTTGAAGTGCATGCACAATTTACTAAGCTGTTAAAAATACCTCTTACTGCACACACACACACACACACACTGTCAGTCATCCCATGCATAAAGAGTGCATCTCTTATCATACAACTGCAGAGTTGCCAGTTCTGCGTTTTCCCAAATCTAGGAATATCTTCTATTTATCTAATACAAAAATATCTAATTCAGAAATTTTTGGTCAAGTATCTTTTGGATTTTCACAGTCAAGTATTCACTATGTTAATTTGCAGTGCTGACAGCCAAGCAAGGTGATTTGGAAAAATGTCTTCTCAGCAAACCAAATACAGTCCTTTGTTATTGCAAATTCTGAGTTCAAAATTTCTTCTTGTAGAAGAAACAGCCCCCTATGTGAGGCAAAAAAAGCAGAAAAGCTCCGTAAAGTGTAGTGCATGTAACACCCCCCCCCCCCCCCCCCCCTTTTTTTTTTTTTTTTTTTTTTTTTTTTTTTTTTTTTGATTAAGGGTTTTAAACAAGCCATTTGGGAACAACTAGTGAAGATGAAGGTGCAGAAGGATCATAGAATTGTTTAGGCTGGAAAAGTCCTCTAAGACTTTAACTCAGCACCATTAACTCAGCACCACCCCCCCCCCCCCCCACTCCTTGTAGTTGGCCAGGGGAGCCTACCTACACTAATAATTTCTCTAAAAGTAAGCTGCAGAATTTTTTCATATTTTATGATAGCTGAGGAATACTGGATCTCCATTATTACTAACATTCTATCTGAATAAAAACAGAATTATCAAAAATGAATTCAAATCATACTGAATTAATTATCAACAAAGTACATAATAAAAACATCAGCATTGAAGGAATGGATGGGTGGGGGAAGAGTCTTACATAGCAAAACCTACTCTATTTCTAACAGTTGTATGCCTATCTTTCTGTAGAAAGGTGGCAAGATAAAACACGTTTCAGTGCTACAGCTGAAGGATGCTCCTGATGCCTGTGTTAGCACACAATCCTTTCGTACTGGCATTGAGTTTTTTCAGTTAAGTAACAAAACCCAGTTGTAGCTGCACTTGACACTGCACAGGCACAAACACTGTCAGGGTGAGGGTATTACATTTCCATTTGCATCTTATCCCTTCAGTATTTATTTCTGCAGGAACACGGAAAGTAAGAAAACAAAGTGAAGGGAAATTTAACAGAATTAATACACTACAGACATACTAAGCTGCTTCTCACACCAAAAACCCCACACAGGACACTTCACATGTAATCAAGAGAATTCAAATTGCATTCCCTTTTAAAGGTAGAAGGGATAAAAATGTTAGAGACTTTTAAACTCATCCTAGAAATGAGAGAAATAACACACCACTTATCTTTCTTTAATGAGGGCCTGTGATAGATACAGGCAGTAGTGACGTCAGGCTTCAGAAAAAACCCCTCTGAATCTTAATATATCAAAGACAGAGAGAATTCCCAGCCTGCACAACTAAATAGACGTATAAAAAAGGCCTATAGAACAATGAAGGTACTTAAAAATTTTACTAATTTCCCAAACAACATTAAGAATCAGAAGCTTAAGTTGTCCCAGATACCTGCAACCAGGGAAGCTGTTAATTTGTAACTGAATCAGAGTATAGGTCAAGAGCTTTTAAGGCACAGTGACACGTAATAAATTAATTAAAAGCTATCCGATCCAGGAAATTTGAAGACACCTTGTTTTTCACTCCTGGTATTTTTTCTGCTATTGTTCCAACTGCCATGTTTACTCACCTGTGAACTGCCCAACCTGCTGCTGGTACGGGTTCTGTGGCTGATCCTGGTACTGCGGAGGAGGCCGCGTCAGGTGCCGCTGCAGCTGCTGCTCCTGCTGCTGCCGCTGCTTCTCCTAAAAAACACCCAATGCAAGGTTGTTTGAAAACAGATCAAGCTTTTTCCAAGGGCTAGCCTGGAGAAAAACAAGTTGTCTGCATACTTTTATGCACAGCTGGTAATCAAAGGGGCTTCTACAGTCACTTCAGACTTTGTTCTCCAGGCTCAAACACAGTCAGTTTAATCTGATGAGTGACAAGACCAGGACCTCAGAGACAACAGCATGTACTGCAAGAGTTACTGCACTGCATGTGTGAGCCTTTCAGAGATTGAAAATCTGAGATGCTAGTCTCCTAATCAGTAACATCATCAACAGGCATTTTTAGCAATACTCTAAAGACAAAAAGAGGTACAGATACAGAAAGAGTAAAAGTGAGTGTATAAAAAAACCCCACTTTTTTTTTTTTTTGGTCTTTATTTCCAAATCAATATATTTTAGACCCCTCTTTAGAAATCAATAAAAGTTCAAGTAAGAAATATCAAAAACTGAACACGTAAATATTTTCTAGTCCTTGTCTACAAACATGAAAAGATACACACAAATCCATATTCTCATATATCACAGGTTTTCCTAGAAGGTTATGAAAAACTGCAGAACTAAGTCCATAATAGGAGTCATACAGGTTTTGCAAGCATTGTTTCAAACCACTTTCTTAGCAACTCACTGATAACTGAAACAAACCCTACTCGTGGCACAAAATAATTGTACCTCTTTAAAATAAAAGTACATTCAACCCACACCTATTTTATGCTCAAACCATTTGAAAAATAAACCAAGCAAATTTTTTATTAGGAAACTTTGGGGGAAAATGAAATTTAAACTCTTGAGGGGAATGTAGATGTAGTGACAGTAGGCTCGGATTTTGACTCTGTTAGCAGCCACCTGACTGCTTTTACAATATGAAATGTATCAGGTACAGCATTTCTGTCTCCTTCCATAGATACCTTCAGCCAGACTGAAACTCTGACCTAATCAAGTAGGGACACAATGCACAACTACCTACTTATCCAAAAAGTTACACAGAGCACAGCAGGGGACAGCAAGTTCCTTCCAAGAGTATTGGGGTAAAGACACAAGGCAGAAGCCTTTACAGAAGAGACTGCAAAGTAACAAACACCAGATACAAATCGCTACCACCCTTCCCAAATGTCTCCAGCTGCGAAGCTGTTGAGACACGCACAGGAATGAAGAGGGCAGGCTGCTTGACAGAGGACCTGCTGCTTGCAGGACCAGTCAGACCTGAAAGAGGCTGACCACAGAAGCCAACAAGAGATGCCATAGCTCTGAGAGAAACCAAGAACTGCAGAACCTGGCCTGGAGAAGAAAATGAAAAAATACGCAGAATGCCAAGTGAAAAGAAATTTATAATGGCAGGGAATGGCACTGGAGCTACCTGAAACTACAAGTTTCCTGCAAAGCAGACATCAGCAGATTCAGAAATCTTTTTGTAAAACTACATCCAGTATCATGTGTATCCAAAGGAACAAGTATCAAATCAGAATGCTAACAAGACCTAGCTTGACTAGGCAGCATAAGGCCAATAAATGTGGCAAATGCAGTGTCTAAAGCTGTTCAGCTCCAAGGCAAAGCCACTCCTTTTATTTGGGACCAGAGTCCCAACATCACGATAGAAAAATGGAAATTACAGAAGTTAACTACAGTTACCATAACTAGGACACAAGTGAAGTATTTTCATAATACTGGTATTTACTGCAGCAACACATACTGGCAAAAAGGACGCAAACAGATAGGAAAATAATATTTTAATGCTATGTTTGAGATATGCTACTTATCACCTCCCCACTGTTCAGAGAGGTCTGACACCTGTCAGGTTCGTTATTGTTCTAAGGAAACCTACTGGGCCACAGCTCCAAGAGCCCTAACAAAGCTCTAATAATCACCATCCACCAAACATGCAAAAGCACAAACAGGTCACACCCCATACTTCCTTTCTCCCCACCTGCTCTCAAAGAATACCTGTTTGTTAACATTCTGGAGAGTAACGATTACTCATCTTTGATATTTGATATTAACATACAAGTCACCAAAGACTGATTGATTTACTAAACTATTCTAAGCTTACAGATCACATAACTCATAGAGAAGATGTGATTTTATTGATGATTTGGGCATTTTTGTTCAGTCTTTAATAATATAATTCCCCCACAGTATTCCCTTAGTTCAAATTGTTTTAACTGAAATATCAAAAACTTATCTTTAGCAACACTCATACACTGCCAACCACATTACTAAGTTTTGTCTACAGTGGCTTCAGAACTGAGGGGGTTTTTCTGTCACCTCTATTGAGACCTCAACTTCATCAGGACGTCTCCAGGTGACAAAAGACCCATTAGCTAGGACTTGGCACAGCCACAGCTCCACAATCCTGCATGTTCTACTACAACCTTCCCCATAAAATGGGCTGTCATACATTTTCAGTTCAGAGGAGACTGTAATTTCCTTCTTTCTTAAAGATTCTGATGGGCAGATGATTCAGGGAGACCTTAGAGCACTTTTCAGTACCTAAATGGGGCTTATAAGATGGCTGGAGGGGGAAGTTGTCTCAAAAGAGCATGAAGTGACAGCAATGGGGAATCCAAGACCTCCATCTGGAGGAGGTTAGGTTCAGATTAGATATTAGGAAGAAATTATTTACTGTGAGTGTGGTGAGGCATTGGAACAGGCTGTCCAGAGAAGCTGTGGCTGCTCCATCCCTGGAAATGTTTCAAGGCCAGGTTGGATGGAGCTTGGAGCAACCTGGTCTAGTGGAAGGTGTCCCTGCCCATGGCAGAGGAGCTGGAACTGAGGTGATTTTTAAGGTCTTTCCCAAACTATTCTCTGATTCTAAAACATCAAATGCTATTTCATGACCAAAGCAAAGCAACACAAATTAAAAAACAGATAGATGGCCCCTCTCACCTGTTCTGCCAGCAAATGCTGCTGCCTCTGTTCCATTAGGAATTGCTGCTTCTGTTGCTCCATGAGCAGATGCTTTTGTTGCTGCTCTCTCTGTTTCTGCTGGTCCATCAGCATTTGGTGTTGCTTCATCACTGCTGCTTGCTGCTGATAAGCTGAGTTGCTGTGGTTACCTGCCATGGAGACATTTGGAGCCTGGGCACCCACCCCAGGGCCTGGGACCGAAACAGGAACACGAGGAACAGCAGGAGCAGGGTTCTGATCCTACAGAACATAGGAAAAGTGACAAAAGTTACAGAAATGCAGTAACTTCTTCACATCTGTACAGTGCCAGACACAGAACTGCCAGTCTGGAGTTAGGGTCAGAAGCTCCAAAACATTTAAGAATAGAGGCTTTCACTCCAGTCTCCAAGTTCTTCCCAATTTCCAGCTCAAATGGGTCAGTATAGCTCTGTGTGCTGTTTTTCAGGCACTTACAAACTGCTCTTCAAACACTCCAGCTTCAGTTAATTTTGGTAGCAGTTTTTCAAACACTACATTTTATATTTTTGTAATACAAAGCATTTACTGAAATCCTGCCTACTCTGTCAACATTTCATTCTGCAAGTGTTTATGTCTCCCAACCTAAAGTTGCTTTTTCTTAGTATCACAGAATTTACTATTTGCAGGTGAAGGGGAGAAGGCTTCCACTGGTCAAAATGGGTCTTAAAGTATTTTTCCAGCAAGCCAACCATCACCATACACCACAGACAAAAATACTACTAGAGATAAGTCTGATATTATTAATTTTTCTTAAGTCAGCATTTTTTGTAATTTTTTTTGTGACTGGAATTCGGGATAAGCAAAAATAACATGGAACATTCAAGAGCTGATACTGCCCTCTTAGTACCAGTAAATCCCTTTGAAATTTGACAGTTTTCATCATTTTAAAGCACAGTTCAGCCTCATCTCTACTTAAACAAATGTTATGTTTAATTTAAGCATTCAGCTAATGGGTTTGGCTGTTGGTTCTCGCTTTGCAGTTTCATAAGGACTCACCAGCCAAATACAAGGAATGCTGCACGAAGTCATTCTGTGTGCAAACTTTTGAGAAATTCTCCCAAAGCTTTCATCAGTATTTCTGTTAGTTCAGTGCAAGTGTGGCAGTGTGCACACAAGGTCACCCTCATATTTTTCAGTGAGGGGGAGATATGACACACACAATCATCTCTACTGTTCTTCCATCAAAATGCTGTTAGACTGTTACTGCTGCCAGCTTTCAAAGAGGTTCATTTTTTTTAGGAAGCACACATTGATCTCAAATTTCTATTTGTACACCGGTGTGGTCTTTATCACCCACTAATCAGAGCTTTTTCACACGTTTTCTGTTTTGTCGAGGGAACATATGACTAGAGCTGGATCTCAAACAGTTTTTGCTGGAGGAACTTTAATCAAATACCTTTGCTTTTCAACAAGCCCTCTTGTATGTGCATTGTAGGTACATGTTACAGAATCCAATGAGTCCATACTTCCACCCACTACTGCAGAAATTTTCACCTGCAGCATACCTGTAGTAACAGGTAACACAAGGCAAAGGAGCACCATCTGGAATTTTCTGTTACAGGAAAACCTGAAGCATATGCTTCAAGCAAACAAACATTACCATTATTCATTCTTAATGATATATTTCTCTCCTATGCCATGCTTTCCCAATGCCCAGAGACTTAACCAATAAAAATCCATAGAACTGAAAGGCTCCACGGAACACCCAAGAAATCAGGAATGCAGCCCCCACTTCCACCTCTCTGCAAAAGTAGGTCTTTTAATAGTAAGCCAACTCTGACACAAGTAGGGACTAAAAACAACGTAAAGAAATCAAAGATTCTTTGAGAACACTATGTAACACTACAGCTTTATACAAGTTATTTTAGTCAAAAGTTTACAAAGCATCTATTTATCTTTGTAAGTAGAAGCTTCTGTGAAGCACGACATAATTTGTTGCCCACAAAGTATATTAAGCTGCAAATCACACGTTACATGACCTAGAACCCAGTATTAACAACTGTCCCCAGTGGAAAAAAAGACCTCATGATTCTTGTAAGATTCTTGTATATAGGATTTTTCTCTTTAAAATCAATGAAAACATTTGAAACTATACCAAGGAATCTGCACTCCAGCCTTACCTACCCAACAACCTTAAATCTGCTACTGAGCAAAGGTAACTCAGGACATTCACCTGACCATGTGGCAGTCGGTAGGCGATGTTTCCCGGCTTGGGTTTCAACAGGATCATCCCATTTTGGTCGTCACCTACGTGGGACAGTGGTGGCTGCTGGCGCTGCTGGATGTATGCCAGCATGGGAGTCTTGTTCTGCCCAGGCACTGCCACCCCCTGCTCACACTCTGCCTTATAATGGGAAAGAGGTTTGGTGTTCCCATAGTCCAGCATAGAGCTTTGACTGTTCACAGGGTTCTGGTTCAAGCTGTTTTGCTGATGACCCAAAATGTTCACATGGTAATTGCCTCCAGCTCTTGGGGAGCTTTTATTGCCCAAATTAGGCATCATGAGTTTCTGATTGTTGAAGTCTGGCTGATAAACCGATGGGCTAGTAGGATTTTCCATGGTATATGGGACAGCAAGTGGACTATGGGAAGGCCCAGGCTGTTGCCACGTCGACATCTGATTTGTTTGGTGGACTTGTGAAGCTTGCTGCTGGTTCTGCAACATCTGATCTCTCTTCTGCTTGGCAGCAATCTGCTGAAGTTGATGAGCAGAAGACATTTCTTTGGCACTTCCTGCACACTTCCCAGGTAACAACACAGGCCTCTGGATGTTCTGAGAGTGGTTTGATGCCTGCAGCAGGGGCTGATTAGGATTTTCAGTCATTGACTGACTGGGAGGCTGGAACATAGCCTGAGAACTAACAACCGTTGTAGAAGCGGCACTTACAGGTACAGAAGCAGCACCAATAAATGCTGAACCTGAAGAAGTAGGTCTAACCTGGGGAGATCCCAGCTGTTCTTGTTCAAAGGGTGCTGGGGAAAACTCAGTCTTTATGTTAATATCTTGTGGTAATGGAGTCTGTGCAGCTGAATTTGAAGAATCTGCATCTTTTTTGTCTTCAAAGTCGTCATTAAAGAGATCCTTCATGTCTTCATCAGGCACTGATCTATTGAGCTCCTCAATAAGTTCCTTCCATTCTTGCTCGTTTAGATTAAGATCAGGCATCAAGTTATTCTGAGATATAGAACCCCCTGCTACAGGATTCATACAGGGAAGCTCATCTACAGGCTCCTGCTTCAGCTCTTTGTTCAAACTCAGAGGAAATGAATCATCAGCATCACCACCTCCGTTCATCTGCAGGCTGGAATCTGGAAGACACTTCTTGCTGATGCCATCGAGCCCCATTGGATGTTTCCCATTAAGCTGTAAGGTGTCACCAGTACCAGATTTCTTGTCAAGGTGATGAAGTGGAGACACAGGGGGCATTCCATTGGAAGAACCACTCACTCCCAGACCATCCTCACGACGCAGTTTCTTGGACACAGAAAACACATCACCATAGCCATTCTGCTGGTCTCCATTCTGAGGGGAAGCAGCACTATCAAGCTTTCTTTTCACAGTCTCATGGAGCTGCTGAAAAATAAAAGGAATATTTTAGTTATGTAGTTCTATGTTACACAGATCTGGATTTTTATTTCTTACCAGAACATTGTCTTGCTCTGAACAAAGCATTTCAGAAAAAAAATCAAAGATTGCATCTTTGTTTTGGTAACATTTTGTTTTACAAGTCAGCACATGAGATTACTTCCTCACTATAATCTCTTACAGAAATTTTTCAAAAAACACGTACTACTTTAAACAGACACCCCCTCCTTCAGACAAAACCAGAAGCTGCCATATACTCTGACAACAAGAAGTTGAAAAATGGCTGTGAACTGGAATATGTTATGATTTCTCCTATTCAAAAGGAGAAAAACATTAAATAATTTTAAGAATCAAATTTCAGATGAGAGTAAAAACCTGTATTCTATTTGATCTATGTACACATACAGTATAATTGTTCCATTAGACTATTTTATGAAAGTCTCACATTTAAATATTTATAAAGCAGTCCCACATTTAAATATTTAGAAAAAACCGAGTCATTCTCTTGTAATAATATCTTTCAGAGAAGAACTGTGTATATAAATTTTGTACACAATCACACTTCTGGCACTGAAGCAAAGCCAATTTGTCACTTAGCGACCATTGCTTCACACTTGTGGAAAACGCAATTCAGAGTTCAGCCAGCTCTATCACAGCAGAGCAAGTTCATTCCTTTCCTCTTTTCTCCTGAAGTATTTGCCAGCTGCTCTGACCACCAGAGCCCCAAGCAGCTCCACAGTTGGCCTCTCACAGATGGTGAAGGCACAGATTCTCTTTCTCGTGGTGCCACCTAGAAGCGACCAGCGGCTACAGCAGCAGCTTCACAGCCAGAGCACCTTTGTTCAACTTCTCCTTCTTGCCAGCATTCTTGCAAATATAAAGTTCTTTCTATTGACCTCAAAAGCATCTGAAAACAGAATTCCTGCACACATCAAAGGTGACTATAAACTTTTCCTTCCCTCAGGTGCATTCTGTAAAAAAATTTGAGCTTTGCTGGTGCTGGAAGGCTCCACCAACGCAGACAAACCTGCAGGGCAGAGACGCTGCTCCAACAGCGTAGGGAGCTTGAAGAGGGAACTGCCATCAGCTCCCAGCCTGGGCGAGACACCCCGGTACATCTCAGCAGGACACTCGACAGGAATCTCCACCAAGAGCCACCTGTCTGAGGTGTGGGGTCACTGAACAACAGCCCTCTCAGATGGCAGGAAAGCAGCTCACCAAACAAACCTCAAGATAAGTATGGTTCTTTTTGTATTACCTGCAGTGCTCACAAGGCAGTCCACTAACCCCTGAGGAAAACTCTCATCCAAGGATAAACGAGAAACCTCAAGATCTCAGCATTCAAGCAAGAGGCTGGATGTAGGGCCAGCATAAATTATCACAAGAATTTTACACACTTGCCTGAGCAACAGCATTCTTTGATTTACAGACAGAAGGACCGGTTCACAGTTAATTGTTTCTATTTTTTTTTAACCATCTACAGTGAGCTGATCTTCGGGGGTAAAGAAACCCCAGCCCATCTGTTTAATTCCTGCACAGGTAACAACAAAAAACCCCACTATTTGTTTAATGCTTGCATAGGTAACAGCAAAACCTTATTTTTATCTGTGGAACAGACTCCAGCTTCCCTGGAGACTGTGATCTTCTAGATGGCTCATGGAAATAGCAGCAGAATAGCAAGATCAGCAGAAGACTGAGTAGGATGAGGTGAGGTGTACATCTGGAGACGAGGCTGGAACTTGAAATCTCTTAATTTGAACATCAGGTCCTTAGCTTGGAGTAGCAGCTCTCTAGTGAATTTTTCAAATACCAACTTGAAAAAATAAAGGAAATTTACTTTCTTTGTAAAAAGACAAAACAACAGAGAGCAAAAAACCTCAACTCCATCACAACATTTGGCTTTCAGTGCTTCCCATTGTTTACTTCATACTCCCACCATGAAAACTGAAGCTCACGGTGGATGAGTAACTTGCCCAAGGTTATATGATGAGTCAAATTACTCAAAGTTTGGGAATGGGTCCTCCTTAATTCTAAATAGTTAGGGAAAAACCCTACTCCCTGAAAACTTACATCAAAATAATGGCTTCGTTTTGTGAGCTACACTCACTGCAGTCTAGGAAAGGACACAGACCCCTAATATCCAGCTCAGGAACTCTCAGACCTCTATGGATTTTAACAGTCATAACACTCAGATATCTGATCCTTGGAGACATTTTGACTGTAAGTTGCTTGGGACAAAATCCTCCTTTCACCTAAAACTGTATTCCTTTGGTGAAAAAAGGGAGATTAAGTTCCTCCCCAGTTTGTCTGTGTCTATCCAAATAATCTGGTCTGAGAGGAAAAATAACAAGCTGCATGTGAGATACAAGTCAGACTGCAAGCTATCTACATATCAAGTTGCTCCAACAGAGTTCTCAAGGCAAGAAAAACCTGTTCTCTTCTGCCAAAACTCATGAAAAAACCAACCAACACATGGATGAAGTAAAGCATAGCTTGCTACTTGCTAAGAAAACCCCTTCAGCTTTAATTTTTTTGTTCATTACCATCCTGTAAGGCACAGTTTTCCTCCAGTACGCTGTCCATGGTTTCCTTAGCAGAATCAACCAATTTTATATATAACACTGAGCCAATCATTTCCACTGTCACAAGATCAGATATAGAAGTGTCCTCTCATTTTCTCAGCCTATTCAATTTTCCAACAAAAGATGAACTTTCTAGATCACTACTATCTAGCTATGCCTAAAAATATTACCCCAAAAGCACTTATCTGAAGTATTTATACCAATATAGGGTCAGTGCAAGGCAGGGGATGTGAGCTGGCTTCGGTCCTTTGCCCAGGACAGGACAGAGTTTGTCAAAGAGCCACTGAGGGCCACAGGCGCACTTCCTCCATCACCTGAGCTGCATTTTATTCACGTGAGCAGAACACACAATCCTCATGACGGCCATAAACACTTCCTTGGCAGGAGCACACAGGCTCAACTGTGCATTCCTCATGCAGAGAACACAAGCTGACAAAACCCAGGTGGCATCCCTGACAACAAAAGGTGTCCAACACAGCAGCCTCTGGCCATGTAACTCACACACTGACAAGGACACAGGCCTGCAATGCCAGAGATGGATGCACGCCCAGACAAATGACAAAGCTTCCAGCAGAAAATGGAGAACACAAAAAGCATTTTGATATATTCCATCTCTGTCTTAAACCCACCAGTTTTACCACAATGGTGCTCAGCCCTACTGTGGTCTCACTGCAGGGGCAAATTGACTGATTTCATAAAAGCTGTCCAAGAACTACATCAGAAGTCCAACAAGAAACCAGAAAAGCTTGAAAACTTAATTTATTGCTTGTCTTTTAGCACTGGCAGAGTTCAAAACTTCAGAGGCCAGAGCAGTGCTCTCTTACGGCCTTGGTGGAAAGGGGCATGAATCACTGATCAAAACACTGGTACAAAGCTGTTCTGATTGGTTTTGTTGGGTTTTTTGTTCAGGTTTTTTTGTTTGCTTGTTTTGTGTTGACTATTTTGGTGTGGACTTAATACCTGAAACTAGATTTAGATAATAATCTGAAACCAATGACATTTCAATGCATTAGAACTTAACAGGCATGAAAGCTTAGATCACATTATTTGCTTGAAAGCAAAAAACCCTCTACCATTCTGAACAGCTGAACTGAAGACAGTCAGCTAAAGTCCCTTTGCAAAAATCCAGTACTTTGCTATACTTTGAGACCTGTAACTGGAGATGGTACATACATATAACACATGGATATATATATATAGATACATATATACATATGTATATATATATATATACACACACAAAATTGTATGCAGGTTTCATTAAAAAACAAAAACAAAACAAACAAACAAACAAACCACCTCAGAAACACAGGAGAAAAGAAACTCCTTAAAAATCTGGTACTCATAGTGTGCCTTTCAGGCTCTGTAATGTTCTTATTTAGCTTTTTAAAGCATCTGTTACAGAGATTTAAATATTCTTACAGGATTCAGTAGATCTTTAATATTTTGTATTTTATTTAAAATTAATTTACCATTTCAATATCAGAATTAAGTCTACCAGAACTTGTTCTGATTTACTAGCAAGAGAAACACAATGCTGGACATTTTCAAAGAAGAAATGTTATATTAGACTACAAGCATAATAAAAAACTAGCTCAAATATGGCTCCTGGCATTCTCAGCTAGAAGGGGAAACCAAATCAGAATACATCCATTTTTCTGCCATGGAAGTGGCAGTATTGCAGCACAGATAAGCTCCCATGTACCAGAGTTCACAGTAGGTGCTCTACAGACACTGATTCTCCTCTCCTGCCTCACTAAGGACAAGAGCAACAAAGATGACAGCTCCTTAAGCTGGACTAACAATGCAAATACCAGACATTGTAGTGTATGAATTTTGGATAGAAAACTACACACCACAGTAAGAGCTCCCCCTTTACTGTGCATCTACCCTCAGCTTCCAAAGTTGCATTCCCCCTGCAAGGAAAGCATTTTATTACCCAATGTGATCCTGCATTCCACTGTGCTGTCAGAACCAAACTGCTGGACTCATTTTAATTTTTACTTCAATTCCAGCAGACTTTTGTATTTGGGTGACTGCCTGCTGGAGTGAAGAAGGGCTGTGGATAGGCATGTCTATAAATATCCCATGCCTGCATTAGTCACAAGGGGCAGCTTCTGCTACAGGAATTGTTCTGCTGAATCAAAAAAACTCCTGTGCCTTCAGCTGCAATGCCGGATCCTCCACCTCACTTGAACTTAAACAGCAGCAGCAGCAGCTCAGTCACTCCCAGATCCGTACAACTTAGGAAACATCACTGCATATCTAACTAATCTGGTAAGGGAAATGTTTCAAACATAAAACAATACCTCACAGAGAATTAAAAGGAGACAAAGAAAAACCTGTCTGAGTTGTTGGGCAACAAACTATCAGACTTGTCAGCAAAAACAAACAATGGTGGCAAGACTACACTGCACCATGGCTATATATAAATAACATGTAAATAATTTGCTATCTTTGTGGTAAAACATAATTTCACAATTTAACACCCCTACACCACAGCTTACACAAAAATGAGGTCTTCTGAACTGTTAGAGCACCAGCCTGAGCTTCGTTGGAGGAACGTCATTAACACTTGCCAGTACACTATGGGCAATCTATTCCCTTTAATTTATTACTTCAGGTCTTTCAACCAAGAAACACTGCATTGCTCTCCTTGGATTTCAATTTCATTGAAAACTGTTTAGTGGTGCCTTTGCTTAATTTAGTATTTAACTAATATTAATGCGAAACATCTATCACTCCCAAATAAATGCTGCTCTTCAGCTTTAACACAAAGCCTTCTCAAGACAGGCCACTGACTCGACTTCTGTGCTCATTCCAGAAATACTGTTTGTGGTTTTGTGGCAGTCCTAGACAAAGCAAGCTCTCTGCACAACAACTGCTCTCAGGTGGGGGAAAAAACCCAGTAAGAAACAGGGAGCAGCTCTCCTTCCAAGACACCACATCATAAAACAAGGAGTGGAGATGAAAATCCAGATCTTTGCCATTCTCCTCATTCACATGTCAATGAAATGCCTTCTGTTCAGCCCAGCCATACACTGCCTTATTGTCTACCACAGAAATGTAAGGAAGCCAACCCTTCTCTTGCAGAAAATTTAAACACCATTATTTGATGAACTTTCATGTATCAGAACTGGGCAGAGAAAAAAATGTTCTAGGAGACAAGCCCCATCTCTTTCCAACTTCCCTGTTTCTCAAAAATGGAAGATGAACACAGCAGACACGTTATCCAAACATCAAGCATCTTCTACTTTGAACACAGCCTTAATAATGTCATGTTAAACAACAGAAATGGGAAGTAGATGTCAACATTTGGATTTCCCATTAAATAATGGTCTGGAAGTTTTTTAGAAGTAGGAAGCTAGAAGGTTTTTCAACATTTTTCTCAAATGAAAGACAGGCCTACATGATGAACAAATAATCCAAGGTATTTCTGTATCAATGCTGTATTCTCTCAGTTTCTGTAGCTCAAATTTTACAGCTGCTTAGTAAGAAAACAAGGAAGAATCTACCCCTTACTTCTGTCTGTAAGCAAGATCCATCTAACTCCAGGCTCTAAACCAGAGAAAAGAGTAAAGGAAGAGAAAATATCTGATTTTGTCCACGTGACGAATCACACAAGACACCAAGGAAGAAGTGGTGGTGCCACCCTGTTGTTACTGTTGTGGATTTACAGAGGGTGCTCTGCAGCACAGCACCTGGCAGTGCCCACTCTGCCCACAGCTGGGGCAATGCAGCTTCATGTCCTACTGCTACAAGACCTCACAAAAGCCTTCACTTTTACATGAACTGCTCTCTCCTTCAGGGACCACAATAAATGCTTCATTAACAGTCAACATAAAGTACCAATTTCCAAGAGCAGATTGATGTGCAGCTTCACAGAAAAATATGTTGCAGCAGCAACAGCTGATATAATGCATGTTGCACTGAGCTAGCAGCATTCTTTAGAAAGGATGTGTCCAGGACGTTTTAAAAGATAGTTCTGGTGTTCATCCAAACTTTATTGAACACTGGAAATCAAGCCCATATCCTTCCCATTCAAAGCACATGCTTGGTCTTGATAATAGCAACATGGTGGGTAGAGGTAAAATACCAACCTAGAGAGGGACCTTCTGGGCCAGAGGAATTAAATTAGCAGCAGAGATGATGTTGTTGTGTTTTTTTTCCAAGACTTGAATTACTAAGCAAACCAACTTTATACCCCAGTAACAAGGTGATGAATCAGCAGCTGCAATTAAGCTCACAGTCACGGATCCTAGGAAGGAAACAGCAGGCCAGCCCAAGGAAGAGTCATTCACACACTAAACCCCTCTTCTGTTGTGCAAATTGGCCACTGGCAGCAGCTTCCTGTACAAGGGCTTCCCCCAAGATGTGCAGTGCACTTCAGAACCTGCTGCTGTTGAGAGCCCTCATTATAATGGATGCTAATTAGATCAAATCCACATCCAAAGTGATTTAAGAGAAACAACACCAATGAATTAGAGATCTCTCTTTCAGAAGATCAATATGAAGTCGTGTGGTGGCAGTTTAAGCAACAGGATTTGACATGCTAAAGAGCCTGGAGTGTAATGAAAATACACATTATTAAGGGGTAGAGCCCCATATGCAAAAAGCCCAAGAGCCCAGCAGGAAATAAACAGAACCTCCACCAAGGTTTTAGATAATAAGAAACAAGTATGAGTAATTTTTGTTTTGACACAAGTTTACATTCAAGATCAGTCTGCTAAACAACAGCTAACTGTAAAGTTTTGTAGAATCAGTGTCAGGAATGCTCAAGGTTTCCCCTCTTCCTCAAGTACCCTTCTGTAGTTAGTGCTCTAACTGTGTCACAAGGACCTCAGTCTTCTCAACAGTCAGCAAGTCCTCCAGTCTCATAGGTGTATTAGCAAGAACAGAAACAATTCAGTCAAGTAACACTTTCAGTTCATCTTGTAAAGACTACAAACTGCACCCAGGCTGCCTAGTGCTGGTCACAGTAAAGATGACATCGATAAACCCCGCGTTTCAGTATTTCACATTATGTCCTGGACACTCAAGCACACATAAAAGCTCTATCGTGATTCTATTTTATAAACAGTAAATGAGGTCCAAGACAGAGAGGAGTATATCCTCCTTCCTTTCTAATCCAATCAAATACACAGAGCACCCTAAAAATATTATTTACTCTATATATTAACCTGGGAATATCTTTGTTTAACCCAGTGTCCCCTTTTAAACACACTCAGAGTGCTACTGAATCACTTTCATGCAGGCCACCATTTAAAGATACCTGATTTTAAGGCAGACAGGTATTAGGACAGGCAGCCTTTAAGAGGTTATCCTACTAACCTACATTACTGACACATTAGCACACAGCAGTATATTTAAAGGGCCCAGAATAAGTTAAGCAATAGCTATCTTGATATACAGACAGGACTATGTGAATATGTCCCGACAACCAGAAATGCTAGAGAAGCCAGAGAAACATTAAGATTTTGAGCTAAGCCAGTTTTTAATGGGTGGAGTGGGATTCTCATAGTGTTCACACCCACCAGAGTGAGCGGCAAACAAGCAGCTGCCTTTCCACTGAAATTCTTTCCAATATGAACCAGAATTAACAGACACATTGTCTTAAAACTCCCCCCCAGTAATAAGCATATCCTTATCAAATGACTCCACAAAACCCTGACACCCCAAACCGAAGACTCAAGCAAGCAAACAAAAATCCAAAGGCACCACAGTATTAATACCCCTCTAACAGTTTCTGCAGGGGCATTTTAGGTAAATTAGCCAGAAATATGATTCACAAATTACTCTGAATGATTTAAGCATCACAGAAATCCTGCCACTATCCGTATCCCACCACGCCACAGTCTTCATATACTCTTCCAGCGTGCAGAGGTGACGAGCGAAAACAAAACAGCCCTGATCGGCTGCGAAGTTGTAACACAGCAGACAGGCTACTCTGCCAAGCAGCCCTCGCACCGCAGGCCACCACAGCAGCCGCGACAGCTTGTCTTCCTTCCCCCATGCAGCTCCAAACGAGAGGTCCCGGTGCCAGCCGGGCACGACCGCCGGTCCCTCCCCGGCCCCAGCGCCCGGCCCCGGGCGGCGCTTACCGCGATCAGGGCGCTGCTGCGGCCGTGCTGCTGCTCCGCGCTCGCCGCCTCGCCGTCCAGCCCGTTGGCTCCGCTCCTCTCGGCGCTCCCCGCGGCGGCGGCGGGCGGAGGGGGAGCGGGCGGCGGCGGCGCCGGGGGCGGCTGCCGGTGTTTGCCGGCCCGCTTGGCCTTGGCCTGCAGGCAGCGCTGGTGCAGGGCGAAGGTTTGCTGGCGCTCCAGCTCCAGGCGCTCCGGGGACACGGCCTGGTAGCGGGACTCGCAGGCGCTGTGGTGCCGCCGGCAGAGCTCGATGCGCCGGCGGAGCCGCTCCATCACCGCGCTGTGCCGCGGCACCACGAACTCCGCCATGGGGCAGGGGGGCAGCACCATGGGCCGGGCGGCGAAGGGGCGGCCGCCGCCGCTCACCGGCTGCTCGCTCCGGCGCCCGCCATGGCGGGGCCGCCGCCGCCCCTCCCGCCGGCCTTACCTGCGCTCCCCGCCGGGATCGCCCCGGGTCTTCCCCCCGCCCGGCCCGGCGCCCGCTCCTCTCCCCCCCGCCTCACTTCCTCCTTCTGCCCCGAGCTCGGCGCCGCTCCGCTGCCCCGCTCTCCCTCAGCCCTGCCCGCCTCGCGGGGCCCGGCGGAGCCCGCCGCGCTCCCCCCGCCGCCGCCCTCAGGCGCGGGCCGGCCCGGACCCCCGGCCCCCCATTGTTGTCCGCGCCGCCGCCATCTTGAAATTGTTTTTCCCCTCCAGAGCCGAGTTGAGAATAAATGGGCGGAGCTTCCTGGGTGGGGGGGTACGTCACGGCGCGCGGCGCGTCACGAGCCGTGACCGACGCCCCTCGCAGCCAATAGAAGGGCGCGGAGGCGCGAATTAAGCAGCGGAGGCGAGCTGGGGGCGGCGCTCGACGCGGTTTAAAGGAACAGGTAGGGAGGGGCGGGGCGACGGCGGCGCAGCCAATCAAGAGCCGGGAGGCGGAGCCGCAGGTGATTGACAGGGGGCGGGCTGCTGGAGCGGAGCCCGGCCCGGCCCCGTGTCCCGGGCACCGCTGTAGGCCCCGCTCGGCCCCGCCGCGGCAAAAAACCGCGAGGCACGGGTCACCGCACCCTCACCCTGATGAACACTGATCCAGCTTGGCTAATTAAACAAAGAAAGCCAACCAGATTTAAGTTTCTTTATTGATTAGTTTTTACATTTTTTTTTTCCAAGTTGCTTCTACAAGTACCTGTTTGAAATGGACATGAAATCGCAGTAGTTGTGTCCAGCAACACCGAAAAAAAAAACCAAAACAAAAACCCAATCAACCAAAAACCCCTTTCACAAACCATGAGGCAAGAGGGGTATTAAGGATCAGTTTGGGATGAGCAGAGCAGTCACAAGCCCCACGTCTGTACCCAGAGCCTCAGTGGAGGAGCTGAGTTTGTGAGGGAGGAGTGAGGAAGGAGCCAGAGGAAACCATGGACACGTACAAGCAGTCACTACTTGCAAGGAACCCTCCTCAGGCCCGGGCGTCAATCGCAAAATCACACTTCATGAGGGAGTAGAGAGGTCACAGGCTCAAGCTGTGACAATTCAGTACCCAGCAGAGCCAGCCAGGGGAGAGCACAGCCGGGCCACGCTGGGAGGGGTTAGTGGGTTAGAGGCACCCTGACTACAGCTGCCCCTGAGAAAAGCTGCCCTCAGCACTTCTGCCTTGTGTCAGAGCCCACGGGCTTTGTTTTGATTCGCCATGCCAGCCTCACACCCCCCCTCGTCAGACACAGCAGCTCAAGCTCAGCATCCTTGTCAAGAGCTGCCGCCCTTGGCTGCACAGGCACAAAAGGCCCAAATACACCTTCAGGATCTGTAACAGTTCCAAACACAGCTCACAGGTTACTGCCAGGTGGAGTTTCACTACTCCAAAAACCACAGCTATGCTTCATGCACTGAGGATAAGCAGGTAGCTGGATTTTTCCTCCAAGACTTTAAAAATAAGAGCAATTCTAAGGTCAAACTGAGGTACCCAAGCCAGAAAGCAGGATAGGATTAAAAAGTAACTTGTCTATCCATTTTGGAAAGTCTTCATTTATTGTAGTGATTATTTAAAGCATACACTATGGTATCAAAAAAAGCCATAACATGCAGACAGGACTTTTTCAGGAGAATTAGCAGAAGCAAATGTAGATTTACAATTAGCTTTAATATAATGCAATTTAAAAGCTGATAGCAGATCTCAAGTTCACTTTTTGATGCTTTGAAAGAACACGTATGCACAGGGATTGTTTGGGAGTTTAAGGCAATTTGCATATTAAGATAAAAAACCATTAGATTAATTAGATTTGTGTTGTGCTCAAAACATTAGCTGAATTGAAACCATTTACATATACTTCATCTCAAAGGACTGAGAGTCAAATAGCAGCTGCTCCTTGATAAAAATACAGTCCTGAGAACAAGCTAGTAGCAATGCTTAAGCTATGACATCTTCCATGTCAGAGTATAAGCTATTTTTGCAATAAGGAGCAGTATTGACCAGGTGTTCAACAGGCAAAGGCATTCTAAACATGCAATAGCTCCCAACAGAAGTCTGAAATTACTTCCAGTATCTTGCTTACAATAGTTTATTTGTACACTGCAGCGAGATCAAGAAATCCTGCTATGCATTTGTGATCACTAATATTTCAAACACAACAACCAAGGGATACAACATAAGGACAGGAAGCAAAAGCTGTTTTACAAAAAAAAAAAAAAAAAACAAAAAAAACAAAAAAAACCCCAAAAACCAACCCCAAAACAAGAGTCTTTTAGTAATTGGTTAGATTGTTTGCAAGGTAATTGGAATACTCTTCCCCCCCACAACCCCTGGGAACTATTCCACACACTATACCTATCATATGACCAAACACTGGAGTGTTTAAGTTCAGTGCAAGAAGAATAATTTCATGACATTTAATTTCATTCTAAATAAAGGCAAAAGTTTATCTACATAGACATCCAAATGCAAACATATTTGGTACAGTGTAATGAATTACATCCATCTCACCCTCAGAGGTAATGCTCTTGTAGTGCTCACCTGCATTCCACAAAAAAAAAGGTGTTTGAAACAGTGTAGTATGGTAGACTCAACACTTTAAAAAAATTTATTCAGCTGGAATTGGAATTTCCTAACATTCACAATATAATTTAGAATGCACTTGTTACATGAAGAGCAGATAAAAGGACTTAAACAGTTTCACATACCAGTTAAGAGATTCCACATGCTCCTTCCCCACCTACAATACTGACATCTTGGTTGTGGTTTTTTTTCCCTAACAAATACTCAGTTCAACTTGTTTCCCTGCCTACCTCCCCCATTTCTACAGCAGACATACAGTGACAACAGTGAGAGGATATGGGACACTGTCTTATTCAGTGTTTGGACCCTGGAAAGGAGCAGGCCTAGCTATGAAATCGAGTTTGACAATGAGCTGAACATGAAGTGCTTCAGCAACTGAGGCAAAGCTGCTCTCAGGAAGAGCTGTATCATCACAGAGGAAAACACCGGTGGCTGAACAGAGGGCAAAGGGGGAAGTAGCCTAACCACACCTCCCCAGCAACCCTCAGCTTTACAAAAAGAGCTCAAGAACAAATAAACCTGGTTGTCTGCAAGCTCTGCAGGATTAAATGCCACATTAGGATGACCCACTCCAAATCCTAGATCGTTTGTCAACATTTAACAGGGCTTTAGCCATGCACAGTATGCATGTATTTTATAGACTGCCTAACCCCTTCCTTCCACCCCTTCTTCCTCTTTTCCCTCCCCCCAAAAGAATGAAGTTGATTGATTAGAGAGTTTCACTACTGGTCTCCCCGTACATCTCCCTCCAGCTGTCTTTTCTTTTGAGGGCAGGGGTGCTGTCAAATGCATTGACAACTTTGCTTTGAACAATTACCACATTTTTGGGGTATAAAGACATTGGTGCATTTAGGAATTTACATATCTGTAAAAAAAACTAGTTATAAAACTGCATTTTTATCACCTAGCACTTTCAAGATTCATCGTTATATTTCACTAATTAATATATTAAATTAAGCCAAGGTTTGAGACTGGAAAAATTCTACCAATCTATTTAACTTAAGAAAAGAATATTTAAAACCAAAAATGAAAAGGTTAGTTATGTTACATTCCAAAATCCACAGCCCATTATATTAAATGCTTTCTTTCTACAGGAATGATGCTCTTTAAAACAGATGATTGCAAATATTTTACTGCTAGACACTCCATTACATTGGATCGTGTGACTGGAACCTGTGGATGGTGAAATCTTGAGGTTTGTCCAAGTTTCAATGTAAGGTGTCCAAGGTCCTCTCCCAGAACCATGTTTGAAAACAACAACAAAAAAAAAAAGAAATCACAGATCAAGTTCTTATGACTTTTTTCAATCTTTCCTTGGCTTTCTGTTTCTGGGTGATCTATTCACAGTTTCTTCCTCCTGCAAGAAAGTAATTTATGTAAACATCAATAAAATAAAACCTAAATATACCCTTCATAACCATTTTGAGAAAACCCATGAAAAATAATCTACTTTCACTTCTAGGTTAGAATTCAGTTTTTGAAAGGACCTACTGCTGAAAGGACTTTGTGGCAAACAGGTAAATTCTTTGTTTTCACAGTGGATGTACACCATTTGTTGGGAGTGCTCAACAGCTCCTGCTTGCTGGGAGAATCCTTTAACTTCAAGCAACACTCCACCCATTTTTGAGTCATTGTGCCAGTGTAGAGCACTTAAGGTCACACTGAGTAAGCCTTTTGCCTCAAGAAGCTGCCTTCCAAGAGTCCCAACTCCCCTCTCAAGGCAGGGGCTACAGCAGTGCTTTTAGCAGGGTCCCAGACCTGCTCAAGTCAGCCACAGCAATTCCTATTCTTCAGGGGGATTAAGTTTTCTAAAGCTCTGAACTGGGAGGGAGAGTCACATGAGCCAGGTTAACTTTTAACAGTGTAGAAGGGCCAGTTCTACACAACCTATGAAAGAAAATGCATAAGCTTCCTTCAAAGATTAGGCACTTACCTCTGATGCAGGTTTCCTGTCTTCGTCCTCCTCCTCTTCTTCCTCCTCTTGACTAGCACTTCCTAGATCAGCATCACTTTTCTGCTTCTCTTCAAGGGAAAATGGGAAAAAAAATTAAAAAACGCCAAAAAACGTTATCCTTCCTGACTTATCTTCAGTTCACCACTGGCTTTATTCCGTATCTGCCAATCCTACTGTTTTTTTTCCATCAGGAAGAACATCATTCAAGATTATCTAGTTTACCTACCAAGCTTTTCCTCATTTGCATCCTCCTCTTCCTCCTCCTCTTCTTTTTCTCCTTTATCTTTTTCTTCTTCTTTCTCATCATCCACCACATCAGGCTGAGGAGCATCAGTCTTCTTGTATTCTGCAGCACTTGGCTGTTTCTGAAAGACAATGACAAACCCAGGCAATTAATTGTGACATTTAGGCACATTTTACTGAACATCCTTTTAAACATGAGGCTAATTATCAGAGGAAATGCATTTACCTTCCCAGAACAGCAGAAAAGGATAACAAGGAATACTGGCAAAGCCACAGTGAGGATGTAGACTACCCAAAGCCAGGGACGCTCTTCAGCAGCTGCCATCATCTGGCCCACAACACCAGGCTGTAAGACCAAAAGAACTGTCAAATTCCACCTCATACAGGAAGCTACAAAATTTTCAAACAGGCTTTTTGCAACTTTAAACACTGTATTTCAGACCTCAAAAAAGAAAAAAATCATAAAGCTAACCTGCAGAAGTATTTTTCCCATAGCTTAAAAATTAAGAATTAAGCTAAACAGTCCAAATATCAGAGCAAAAACTCAGAAGAGAGCAGTGAGTACTCTTAATTACTT